ACATTCATACATACATATATATATATATATAATATATATATTATTTATAAAAAATTAGAGCATTAAGTCAAGGACTCTAGAGAATACACATTCCATATGGACAGATTAAAATGTACAATAGCTTCAAAAATCCATAGAGTTTTCTACACAGTGATGCGTGTAGTAAGTGCAAAAATACTACGGTTCAGTTAATCCAAGATTTCCTGTTTTCCTGTTTCCTAGAAAAAGCAGAAGCCGCTGCGTCTCCTGAATGGCAGAGGACTCCTCCTCCTGTTTTAGGAGTGGATGTTGAGCCCTGAAGCACAGAACTTTTCCGTTTCTCTAAAGTGGAAGATGCCTGAGACCGTGGAGTGCTACTCCATTTCCTTGTGGAAGCTGGTGCTTTGCTGAGGCGCCCAGGACGAACAAAGACCCCGTGTCGTGGTTTGCAGTGGAAGTACTCTCTGCCTTTCACAGTTCCATCATGCTTCCCTTCAGTGAAAACAAACGCACAGAATTAATTGTTGGTACTTTCATTGGCACACACTCACACTTCAAAGCTACAATTGTTTCTTGGTTATCTGTTACATGATGTTTAATGCTGAGTGATGAAGCCAGATGCATATACACACTAGGGAGAACAAAACCTGGAAAGGAGAACTTCAATTGTGACCAAAAAGATGACTTCCTAAAATATTACTTCGTTAACAGTTTCAAGAGGTCAAATAGTTGTTCACTTCACAAAATAAACTATCCTCAAAACCAACTGCTTACAAAGCTTAAAACTCAGCTGTCAGAGGAACTTCCAGTATCAGTGTTAACATCTACTAAACTACTGAAACCATCATCTTTTTAAAAGATCTGAAGCATTTCTGGAGGAAATCCCAACACTTGCAGAGCACTGACCTTTTCTGACCCCATGAAACTGAAGTTAAAGAAAACCTGTGCTCTCTAATTAAGCTTTCCTGGGGTGGGGGGCAAGAAGAAAAAGAATCTCTGAAAGCCATAAGGCAGCAAAACCTATTTAACAAGTCATGTTCGATGTTCATTGTCAGTCCTACCCACAAACATGCATGTTGATTTAAAAAAAAATAGTCAATTTTAGGCTTTGCTTGTTTTTCTTATCTATAAAAACAGATGGAACTACTACAACACCCGAAAGAATTATTCTGCATAAAGCAGGAACAATAGGGCTTTAAAACAGTTAAAAACTAACTCTTAGCAAAGTGTTGCTATAAACAGAAAGCCTAGAACTGGGTGTATCAGATTCTATATGAAATCAGTGGTATTTCCAAGACTGAACAGCGTATGATTGTAGTTTAACTTTACAAACAGATCATTCTAACTGCACAGAGAACCCAGAGCGTATTTAGTCTTACCCAGCTGAACATTCAGTTCAACTCCAACCCAGATTCCAGACGAAAAATCCACCGTTCCGATGTATCTCACTGTGCCCAGCTTATTACTTCCAACACAGACTTGTTCACCCACTGCCACCCAGCTAGGCAAGATGTGGGCTTGATCTGCAGAAGCACCTTCTTCACAATCAGAAGTGTCCAAGTGGTCCTTACCAATAAAATCATCTATGGAAGTGTGAGGATAAGTCTCACGGTCTGAAGACTCTTTTACCAGTACAGAATGCAAAGGGCTTTCCACAGCGTCTGCGAGCTGGTCGCCTGCTGCTACGGCAGAGCCCAGCTGGCCTACACACGTGCTCTGCTCCTCGCCAGTGCCACGGGGTAACTCCGAGGTGCTCACCCCATTAGAGGACACAAGGGAACAGGACTGCAGAGCTGTCGAATGGTCAAAGTCCTTTCCATCTTCGACACCCATGAACTCTGTAAAGGAGTGATCTTCCAGAATGTCCGTCGTGTGCTCAACGGTTGCTTCGTGCGCTGAAAACTCAATTGTATGACAGGTATTTTTGCCATCTGAGGAACTTAAAGATGAAAATGATCCAGCTCTGGGTAACTGCTGAGAGTCTCTGTCAGTGGCATGGAGGGACAGTGGTACTTGTTCCGTTAAGGCACCGTTGTCTTTCAATGGTAACACAGGTAACTTTTCTCTCGCCAACTCCTTTTCTGACTCTCGGCATTCCTTGTTCGAAGAGGATCTTAAACTGTGTGCAAGAGATGATCCTGAGGGATCATGAGAGTCCAGCTCCTTGGTGTGAGCAGCTAGCTGGTCTGTGCTATCACTACAGGCAACAAGCATGTCAGACAGAGTCGCGTTAGAGGCACTGTGGGAGAAGTAGCCACTAGTGATGCTGCTAGTGGTGGGGCTGCGGGATACCTCTTTCTCAAGAACACGTGAACTCGTGAAGTCTGATTTAGAAGAAAACCACTCTCTGTTCTCCAGGCTGGCATTGTAAACACTGAAGTCAGCAAACTCCTCCGGTATGTAAGGCCGGAAATTTTGAAAACTTTGTGGACTTATCAGCTTCTTATTAATGGCCTCCAACTCACTGTCTTCCTCCTCGGAGTCCTGCAAAAGAAGAGAGCGTTGCATGGGATTAGGAACCTCCCACAGTAAAGTTTTCAAAATAAACTAACCTTCCTTGATTTTTTCCCTTTCTGAATGTGAAGATACAGATACCTTTAATGTTCTTTAATGGAGGAATGGAAAACACCTATGAAAAGAGCTGCTGGGAACACATGCTGTCTACACTGAGCTATTCAATTTTTAGAAAACAAAGATAATTTCTAAATAGTTCAGAAAATATAAAGCAATAAAGTTTGGCATAAGGTAAGCTCATAACATGAAGGAGTTATATGTTTAGACGGTTTTGTCATACTCAGTTTTTTAAAGCTATGTATTATAAACTTTTTCTTCTAGCTAATTTAGCTAATTGAACCCATTGAAGGTATTCTATAGAACTAACTGACTATCTAACAAGATAAAACATAAATATGGAAGAGGCCTTACAGGGTCTCAGCTACGATACCGAGTATTAACATATTGACTATTAACATACTCAGTATTAAAAACCATCCTGCACATACATGAGATTTTCTACTAATCTGATCCCAGTGATGCTCAATAATTTTGCTTACCCCCAGCTGTCACACCTGACCACATTCACAACGTTGGAAAATAAAGGCAACAGGATCAAATATTACAGACAATTTTCGAGGAAGCGTTTGTGCGCACACGTGTACGTGCCTGGAGGGAAATATGTGACACTGATCACTCTGGCAGCGTTTGGAGGCAGGTCCCTGAATCTCCCTTTGGTAACCAGTGGTGCTGCCCTGTGATCAGCCCACAAACGTGGCTTTCACAGAGCCCATCTCAGCCTGAGGACTTCAGTCTATCAAGATGCATCTGAAAAAAACCCCAGCAATGTGGTTGGGCTGCTCCCCCAATATAAAATACTGCAGGCAGGACTCCACACAGGTGCTTTTTTGAAGTACTCAATTTTTCACATAAATATATGTATTTATTTATACATATATGTATATATAAACATATGTGTATATATACACACATACATGTATTAAAAATTGTTAGTTTAGAGCAAATCCCCACTAGAAAGAAGAATATTTCCAGAAAAATGAAAACTGCTAAAGTATTTAAAGTTTAGAGGAACTCAAGCACCTATTCTTTCACCATTCCATCATGGATTTCAACTACTGATCAAGGCAGATCCTGTGTGGTATCTGAAGTAGTTCGATGCTTTCAGACACCTGCTGTGAATCACGGATGGAAAAGGAAAAGCACAATACTGAACCAAATGACCAATGGATTCAGAACTATGACATCGAGTTTAATACCCTCTTGAAAATCGTTCCTACAGTTCGTAAGCCAAGACTGCTCAAATAACTTGGTCCAACAAAGCTTCAAACACACAGACAGCAAACAGGTTTGTTCAGTTTGCATATCAGGATAATCACAGAACTGTTTAGGTTGGAAGGCATCTCTGGAAGGTTGTTTAGTTCCAACACCCTCTGCTCAAGCAGGGTCAGCCAGAGCAGATTGTCCAAGACTGTGTCCAGTTGGGTGAGTTTTGAGATATCCAAGGATGGAGACTACAACCTCTCTGCATCACCATTGCTTCATGCCCTGTCACTGGGTACTACAGAGAAGAGTCTGCCTTGTCTTCACTCCCTCCCAGCAGGTATTTTTATGCATTGCTAAGATGCCTCTGAGCCTGGTCTCCTCCAGGCTGAACAGTCCCAGCTCTCCCAGCTTCTCTTCCCACATCAGATGCTTCAAGCTATTAATCATCTCTGTAGCCCTGCACTGGACTTGTTTCAGTAATTACATATCTTTCTTGTACTGGCAGCCTAGAACCAGACACAATACCCCAGATATGGCCTCCCTAGTGCCAAGTAGAGTAGACCACCTCCTTCAACCTGTTGGCAATGTCCAGTATACTGCTGGTCTTCTGTGCTGCAAGGGTCACGGGCAGCTCGCTGTCCACGAGGACTCCAAGGCACTTCTAGGCAAGAGTTTGCACTTCCCCTTATTGAACTTAATGAGATTCCTCTCTGCCCAGTTCTCCAACTTGTTGACATCCCTCTGAAAAGCAGCACAACCCTCTGGTGCACAAGCCACTTCTCTCAGTTTTATATCATGTTCAAGCTTGCTGAGGGTGCGCTCTGTCCAATCATCCAGGTCATTAATGAAGGTGTTGAATAGTACTGGTCCCAGTACTGAGCCCTGGAGTACACCCCTTTTTACCAGCCTCCAACAGGACACTGCACCTCTGATCTCAATCCTCTGGGCCCAGTTGTTCAGCCAGTTTTTAATCCACTTCACTGTCCACCTATCCAACCTGTACTCTGTCAGCCCATCTATGATGATGTTATAGGAGATGGTGTCAAAGGTTTTACTAAAGTCAAGGTAAACAACATCCTCTGCTCTCTCCTCATCCACCGAGCCAGTCACGTTATTGTAGAAGGCAACTGAGGTTGGTCAAGCACAATTTCCCCTTTGAAAATCCATGTTGACTACTCCAAATCACCTTCTTGTCCTTCACGGGTTTGGAAATGCTTTCTAGGAGGATTTTCTCCATCACCTTCCCAGAGACAGAAGTGAGACTGAGCAGTCTGTAGTTAGCTCTTCTTTGTCCTTCTTGGAGACAGGAGTGGTATTTGCTCTCTTCCAGTCTTCAGGTTCTTCTCCCAGTTGCTATGACACTCAGTGATAACTGAGTGCGGCCTTGCAGTAACATCAGACAGCTCCCTCAGCACTTGTGGGTGTGTTTCCTTAAACAAACATGCAGTTTGTTTAAGTTCTCCCCAACCTGGTGGTCCTCTACCAAGGATGTCTTCCTTGTTCCACATCTTCCCTTGGGTCTCAGGGGCTTGGGATTCCCTGAAGGTTAGTTTTACAGATAAAGATTGAAGTTAAGAAGGCATTGAGTACGTTGGCCTTCTCCAAGTCATTTGTGAGCAGTTCCCTGCCCCGTTCAGCAGTGTAATTAACTAAAACATCCTTGTAGGTATGTATTAGGAAACACAGGCTTATGTGACATGATCTTTCTCCTAACCTGGAGGTGGTTGTTTTCCCTACTTGTTTTTGGTTTTGTTTTGTTGGTTTTTTTTAAAGAACTGACTAAATTACTTCACTTTTCAGTTATATTACCCATGCAGAATGCCCTCTTAAGCTGAATCAAGCTTTCCTATAGTATGAAATTTTTGTTAGCAGAGCAATCAGTATCTGAAGAAGATGCCTCTACGTATATTTGACAAATCCAACCAGATTTCAGATTATTAATAATTTGATCAAGTAAAGGCTTGGCATCCTTTGCTTACTCGTTTTTACAGCTCTGCTTCAGAGTTATTTCTCGTATGGAATTTGGATGAAGGTTTTATTTTGTAATTATTTATTTCTCTGCAGAAGAGTGATAATGTTAAAAAATGTCACACAAGACTATTGGAAATTATTTATATTATTGTAAATCTTGCTCTTCACATCTGAAAGCTACAGGTAGTCCCTTTAAAAGTAAAGGACAAAATTAATATCCACTTTATTGAGACTACGAACACCCTTCCAAGCACTAAAGCATTACACAAAGCACCTTTTTTACATATTGGAGCATACCTGTTGCTTGTTTCAGAGGCACTTCTTCTCAATTATTCTGCTTTCTCCTTTCCTTTCACCCTTATTCTTATGAAAAAGTAAGTTTTCCTCCTTGCAGAACCTTGTAGTTTGTTGTTTTTAAAATATTACAAACTGTAGTGTTTATCAAGTATGGTGGGTTTAAGATAGTACCTGAACTCAAACCAATAAGCATTTCATGAAGGAAGCATTTGTAGATACTAGCTAAACATCCACTTGAGACCAAAAGGCATTTTTACAAGAGTTCTGTTTCTCCTTCGAATCCTGCAAGATTCCTTATTTGACCGAAAAAAATCTTAGAGCACACGGGGTCCCTGCTCAGAATCAGACTGCATAAGAGGTGCTGTAACTGAGAAATGGCTCTACAGACACACAGACATTGCTGACTTGATTAGGGAAAGTCAAACAAGTCACCACATTGTCAGTTGTGTGTTGCTTCAGGGTTATCTAGCATCGTAAATACAAAAGCTAAGGTACAGAGAAGCTGTCCTATTACTAGAACATGGGTTGTGATGAATGCTGCAAATGGGTGATGAGACATCACCTTATGATGGACAAAAGATGCCCCTTGTGGGGACAAGAAATATTTCCTTCCAAAGCTCCTCTTGAGCTTCCCAATTGGGAAATTCCAGAAACAAAGCAATATCAGGGTTCTTCAAAGTCCCGTGAATGTAAAATGTGGGGAAAAAAGAAGGAAGCTGCCTTGTACTGCTCAGGCTATTGGTAGAAATAAAGATAAAAACCTTGAAAAATTGGTAGAGGAACTGCCATCACTTCCCTGGAAAGTAGCAGAAAGACTATAATGAAAAACAGATTTAAGAACTGATAACAGTAAGAATGTGCCAGGAAGAACTAAGGAGACAAGACTATACATCAAGATTTAGCAGTAACAGATGCAAAGTAAGTAAGAACACAGAGCAGCTTTCCTACACCTGCCTTGTAACAAACATACTGTGTAGTAAAAACTTAAAAGTATCTGAGTTTTCCAATCCCTAAATGATACCTCTTCAAGTAACCTCAAAGATGCTAGTTCCTATTTTATTAATTTAAAAATCAGTAATACTTATTTAGTGGTTGTACCACTGGTGCTTCAATTTTCATCGCCTGCTAGGATTTGCTTTTAGCCAAATTCCCCTTAGATGTGTTACTTACAGGCAGTATTTAAATACATTCAATATGAAAACATTTAATCTGACCAAAACACATTCCTCTGTACTCACATGTTATATAGAACATGACCTTATGTCATGCTGTTTTGAAATAGTTACAATATTGGGGAAGGACTTTTCATAAGGGCAGTTAATGACAAAACAAGGGGAAATGGGTTTAAGCTGAAAGAGGGGAGGTTTAGATTGGATATTAGGAAGAAGTTCTTCACTGTGAGGGTGGTCAGACACTGGAACAGGTTGCCCAAGGAAGTTGTGGATGCCCCCTCCCTGGAAGTGTTCAAGGCCAGGGTGGATATGAGGCTTTGAGCAACCTGGTCTAGTGGAAGGTGTCCCTGCTGATGGCAGGGGTGTTGGAACTGGATGAGCTTTAAGGTCCCTTCCAATCCAAACCATTCTATGATTGTATGATTCTGTGATATTAAACGCAGGTGGAAGTGCTGTCCTGAAAGTTCAGGTTGAATGCTCTATTTCAGGCCAACTGTAGAAAAATATTTTTCTGTTAACTGCTTTTTTTTTTCCTTCCTTTGACAGATGTGATGTGAGTATTCAAGAAAAGTTAAGAACAGATCCCAGAGAAACATGAGAAAAAGGCCAAACATCATTCTTACGCCTTGTTAGGTGCAGAACACAAATCTAGTGAGTATTGCTGGCTTCCTGTATGTTTGGTCGCTTTACTTCTGCAGCATTTTTTACATGCTGTAAGATGCAAGTAAGCATCACACCCGAAGTGACACCAATCATCCAGTGATTAATCAGGAGTGTGAGGCTCTGTACCTTGGAGCAATCACTTACAGTATTGATTAATGATGTGAAAACTTCACTTTGGATCAGACAGAGAGGAGCAGACAACTGAAGTTTCACGGGGAGCTGTGATGCTGCCCTAATGTGAATCTCTGAACTCAGTCTGAGAGCATTATTCATCCAAATGCTGGAAATACATACTCCAGCCTACCTGAAACATAGACTTCCTCCAGCTCTGAAAAACAGGGGGTAGCCTGGGAAGCCTGCATCTTACAAAGTGAGAAAGCTTCCTTCCTAAAGTGAGAAAAAACTCCAGAATCCATCATTCATTAGACCTAACGCCCTACACTGGCAGGGGTACGCCAAGTAGCTGTCTCAGCCTCCCCCCAACTCATGGCTGCTGTTTCTTGCCTGCCTCCCCGGTACCCTTCTCAAGGGTCTCAAAGGTGATCAAACAGGGGAGTAGATCCAAATGAAATATAGCTCCATGGTAGTGTGGCCATCAGCAGGATGGATCGGTTCCCTTGAGCTGATTTATTATGCAACTGAACAGAAAGCTACGTTGATGCAAGGGAGAAGTAGTGCAAGGGAAGGAGCAAGCAGCTGAGACCTGAGGAGATTTTATCATAGAATAGTTTGGTTGGAAAAGACCATTATGATCATCTAGTGCAACTGTAAACCTAAAGAACAGCTCTTTCTAGGGCCCTGTTGGCTTCAGTAGGTTTAGAGTGTTCAATGAATTAGTTCCATTCTAATTGGAAAAGCCAGGTGCAGAATGTTGCCCTTATCCAGCTCTCAAAGCTTCTGCTTATCTTTGGAAAGCAGCACAGGCAAATGCCTGGGTGAATTCAGGGCATGCCTGGGGTGGGACCCTGTTATTACTCAAGGGATTAAAACTGCCCTGAAGTTGCTATGGAAAATTTTGTAACAATTTAGTTTCCAAGGGATGTTTTTCAACCTGCTAGAAGATTTTGTCTTCTAAATGCCTTCATGCTATTTGTATCAGTGACTCAGTGTGAGTCAGTATGTCAGCTACCTTATGGAGAGTCAACATGATTGAGAATGAAACAGCTGCTACGCAAATCCAGCAGCCAAGCTTCAAACACTGCACCAGAACACTCAGGATACTTTGGTATAACAACCTACAAAATAGCATTACAAATGCAGAACAGGTTTTTTAATGGCTTTTTTATTCGGCAGGAATGACAATAACTGCTGAATAAGAAGGATCCATCAGTAGCACTTTGTGATAAAAGAGGCCTAGAATAATTACGGGAATTAATTTGAAGGTTCTGAACTTTAAATCTAAAGCTCTGATTAAAGCAAATATTTACAGCCATGTCCCACAGCCCAAAAATCGAGTCCATCATACAGCAGAAATGATGATACAGCTTTTGTTGAAGCAGCAGTGAGAAAGGGATTTGGCAGGTGAAGATTAAAATAAAAGCCCTCCACCTCAATTCACCGCCTGAATTATGATGAAGGCAGGCTGCAGGTTAATTAAGAGCAGCAATCTTATTTTAGTTATATTATTTCCACATCAGGCATTGAGAAGCTTTTTATAGTGTACCCACACCTGAATGCATGGTTACTTACACCAAATGGGATCATTCCATTTACTCTGGGGTATAGTCACAAAATCTGGGTAACACACAAGGTAAATTAGTGATAACAACATGGTTTTACTAAACTACCATTTACTTGATCATTTGTGCCCTGTAAAAACTAAAACTTCCCCGCTCCCGCCCACCCCACAAGATAAATAATATATGAACATTAAAAAACAAAGCAAAACCGAAAACAAACCCAAAATACAAAAACCCAATTTAGTTCCAACGATAGATTGCATTTGCAAGCGAGGCAAGCAACTGTTCATTACAATAATTAGTTACAATCAATCACAAGTGATTATATCCACACACATCACACCTTTTTTCTGCTGCAGTAGCATCAGAGCCTTAAGCCCACCACCAGATCTCTTAATAGAAACAGGTTCAGGACTTACAATCTTTTCCTGACATATGTTATTGCTTTCTAGAGGCATGCTGCTGGCATCACTTCCCGAAGGCACAGCACAGCCAGCGCAAAGCACCTGAGAGGAAGGCATGCTAGGCAAAGGTTATGACACACAACACATCACACAAACCACAACTCTGACCACAGCGCGAAATACGTGCAAGTTAGAAAGGTTATCAAGACACAATGAAAAGTGAAACACCCACGCTGGCCATATAGACACCAAAATTCAAGTTAATAGGTAGAGAAACTCATGCACTCCTCCCAACAGAGTTTTAGGTGGAGAAATAAAAGTCAAAATTATATCCACTCTAAAATATTGTTTCACAGAATTATGTTTTATCGATGAAAAACCACACCCACATCTTGCTGGAGGAAAAAACCTGCAGGTTACTGTTACTTTAAAATAGAAGAGAATTACCCTGTAAAGGAGAATACTTACCAAGAATTGAAAACCTGCCCAGTGTTTCAAGTCAAAAACAAACACCAAAACCCCACCATTTACAAAGAACAGTCTGATTAATTTTACCAGAGCATTACAAAATTCTATTGCAACAGATGTATGCTGCAAATGATTTGCCAAATACACCAAATCACTCAATCTCCTCTAAAAAACACAGGTGGTTTCTAAAGATTACCTCTTGACTAAGCAGAGGTCGGCTTTCAAGCGGGGTCTTCCTTTTATGTTCCTCTTTCACTGGCATTAAGGGCTTGAAAAACTTTGGTGGCTGAGGAGAAAATGCTTTAAAAGGGCTGGTCATTAAAGCATGGGAATTCTCTGCTACAATACCTAGGTAAAAAACCAAAAATATTGTATTTCAGTTCTTCATATCTTGACTGCAAGTGCATAATACAAAATAACTGAAGGTTAAGCCAGGCAATCAGCAAGTTGCCTCCTACAGAAAAATGTCAATATTTTATTATTCAGCCACCGGCCCAAGGATGTGATAACACGGAGCATCAGTGAGGGGAGATTGTGCCACTCTGAGAAGTATGGAAACAGAAAGGAAGCAGAGAACAGCAGTATCTGCCCCTTCCATTCTGGGGCTCAAATACTTCTCCTTTTCATCTCAGTCATAAAAACAGTGGGAAGCATCCTTGAAAATGGAACTGACAGCTCTTTCCTTCCTGAGCCTCACCTGACCTCTGCACACAACACTGCAACCCTGCAAAACCAGCGTGATCAAAAAGGAAATTCTAGGCAAGGAAGCAATGAATAAACTCTCAGTCTCACTTTACTGCAGCACAACATCTACCTGCATTGCCTGATCCCCCAGAGCGTGTTACAAACTGAAAATAAGGCACCTGTGACACACGGACACAGCAGAACAAATATCCAAACCATGTAAAGAACCTGCAAAAGGACCCTTCCCACTTTAACAAAAGGATTTTCATTTTTAAATTCATAAAATAACAGTAGCTTCCCCCCCTCCCCTCTTTTCTTTCTTCTACTGTTTTGATTCACATTTAGTCTGTTCTTCTGCCCTCCTCTTAGTTTTTTGGGCATCCCCAATTTCCCATCCTTTCCTGGATGTCTTCATGCATTTCTCCCTTTCTCCCCTACTTCCAGATTACGTTTAGCTGCTAAAAGCAAGAAGCTGGATAATGCACTTAGTAGGAAAAGACCACTGAGAATTTAATTTTCAGTTTAACGCAGTAATTAAAAAACCACAAACAATGTCATTACATATATACTTTGAAGTCTCACCACTGCCATCTTTGCTCTTGCAAGGTGACTCTCTGGGCAAAGTACCATAGCATGATACATCTTGATAACTGGAAGAACAGTCAGATATATCTAGGTGGCTTTCAGACCAACCCTAAGAAACAAAAATACATAAATATGCATGCTGAGACAGGCAAACATGGAAAAATTAATAGGTAATCTCAAAAAGGCTGTTTTGTTTTGTTTTTGAAATCCCTCAAACCAAAGGAGTGACAAGTTACTGACTTAAGACAACTTTCTCTCACACAAATGGGTTGTTTAGAAGCTAATTAGCTTTTCAGTGAAGTATATTAAGTTGTTCTATAACTTCCCCCTTCTTAAACATGTTTCTACAATTCTAATATTAAGAGAGAAGAAGAAGGTTTAAGTCCAAATAATACGTAATTAGTGCAGCATTTTGAAGATACATTACATAAACACACTGTAAAAATACCATTTTCCTCTTTCTTTCCAATTCCAAAGACATCTTGCTTCAAAGATGGAGAAAAAAATCTGCGAATGCATGCTGTTTGTTGTCACACTTACATACCTTGTCATCTTCATCACAAGCAGAAAGGTCTAGTCGGCTACAGGATACCTACAGAACACCAACAGGCAGAATGACAAAATGCCTACTTTGTATTTCTCAAATATAATGTCTTGAAGAATCACTGTGATCATAAAGTCCTAACAATGTTCTTGTTCTCTCTTTTCAGGTAAGGTTATTTGTAAGGACAGCTACATCTGTGCTGTGTGAGTGGGTGACAGGAGAACACATAAAATGGAAACAATCCCTCACGCAATGAAAAAAAGTTAAAGGGACTTTGAAGTAAAAGTAATCTGAATCAGGGTAGTTGCCATCCTAAACTACTTCCAAAACCAACACACTTATAAAAGGAGAAGAGTTTCAACCAATCCTCCCGCGTCCCTGTTAACTTTCTTATCTCCTAGGAAGGACAGCTGTGAGGAGAGGCTTTGAGTGACTCATTTTCATTCATGACAACTATCCTACAGGTTGGTTAGTCCTAGCACAGAATAATCATTACTGTATCACATTGTGCAAGCATTACACCAGCACACAAACAGCACCTCCCTACCCCATTAATACTAATTTACCAGGGGATAAAGGGTCCTTACATTGTGGACATTTGGAGTGCTGATGCTCCTGCGGATGTTTCTCGCTTTGGTGGAGAGTGCCTCTTTGACTGTGACTGCCTGTGTAAAGAAAAGGACACATTAAAAACAATGCTGTGGTCTTCTCATGAGAAATGATCAAGCAGGACAGAAATGTTTTTCAGTGTGGCTAACAGCAGCAAACAGGGCTTGCAATTACAAATCTCAATTTGCATACGCAACCACCAAAATTTGTATCTACTAATTCATTCTTTGGCCTTTGCCTGTTCAGGTTCTGCATACTACACCATTGCCAGCTGTAGCTACTAGACCCACCACTATTGGAATTCTGTATTTTGCAGGAGTAAGTATTCTGTATTTTGGCTGAGAGAGTTGGGGCTGTTCAGCCTGGAAAAAGAGAAGCGTCTGGGGAGACCTTCTAGAGGCTTCCCAGTACCTGAAGGGGCTACAGGAAACCTGGGGAGGGACTTTTTATAAGGGCTTGTAGTGACTGAACAAGGGACAATGGCTTTAAACTGGAAGAGGGGAGGTTTAGATTAGATATGAGGAAGAAATTCTTTGCTGTGAGGGTGGTGAGACACTGGCCCAGGTTGCCCAGAGAAGCTGTGGCTGCTCCTCCCTGGAAGGGTTCAAGGCCAGGTTGGATGAGGCTTTGAGCAACCTGGTCTAGTGGAAGGTGTCCCTGCTGCTGGCAGGGGGGTTGGAACTGGATGATCTTTAAGGTCCCTTCCAACCCAAACCATTCTGTAATTCTAACCCAGTCTTATATTTATCCTCAAATGTTCTCTAAAAAAATCCCAAACTGAAAAACAACTAACGCGTAATATTTTTAAAAGATCGGCCATCTCTACTTGAATTCTCATAATCCAGTTCAAAAGGTGCAAGAAGTGCCTCTTCCTTGCCTGTCTCAGTCGTTCCAGGCTCAAAATGTTCTCCACTTGCAGCACACCACGTGTGTATTTTTCAATGTACGTTTCACCATCGGATGCGCCCTCGTTCTCACTCCTTGCAGCCATCAGTGCCAAGGTCTCGCGATCCTCAATTTCTTCTGTAGCCTAAATTACAAATGACACTATTGAAGTTTTTAAAAATTAAAGTATATTGTTTTTAATGTATTAACTTCTTTAGACCATCTCAATACATAAATTAATTTGAGTCAATAATTCTTAACTTAATCAGTAACCCTAATTATAACCAGCAATCCAGGACTCTTCAATGCAGATGTAAATGATGCTGAACTAGGAAGAGTCCATGTGCTGGAGAAGTTTTGCACATTTGCTGTAGTCAATGCACGTCTAGAAATAATGCATATTATAGAAATAAATATAGACATACATAAATGCATACTTCTAGAAATAAAACATAACCTGAAATTGCATATGTTAAGGGTCAACTAATGACAACTTCCTAAGCAAGTAAACGCAACTTCCTTCCCAAATCATAAATATTCTGTGTGATTTCCCTAGAGTTTAAAATTTAAGTACTACTGCACAAAAGTGACAATTACACGGCAACAAGACTATTTACGTTTTCATTTCTCTAGTTTGTTTACCTTTAGAATAATTTTTTTAGTAGATTTACAACTTGCACAAGCTTTTTCTACAAAAAGTTTATATGCCTGCAAACTCATTTTCCCAGCTATTCAGTTTTCATGACCTGAATACCCCTCTGAGTATCCTCTATATTCTCTCTGTAGACACTAACATAAGCTCAGTTAAATACAGTAGAAGAGAAAATAAAATCCCTGCAGTTTTCAGCTGTTTAAAGATAAACATGACCTCACCACTGAACTTCAGGATATCCACTTGGCAAGCTGCCTCCTCTTAGCAAAGCAGGACACTCATTTTGCAATCAGTATCACTCACTGCAGTAGGTTGTTTTGTTCCTTTCAGTGAATTTACCAGAAAAATATGGTATAATTTACCTTTGGTATATTGGATACTATTTCATAGGTTACTCCACAGGCATAATATATATTTTTCAAGGATATTCTCCTTCTCAGGCTCTGGGTAAAACTCTAGAAAACAACGTAATTTTCAATTATTGTTTTGACAATGATTATTTATGATGTTATAAGAAATAAAAGGTTGCAATGCAAAAATGTATTTTACCACAAAAGCACATTTTTCAGGACTGTAAGTTTCTTTTTAGCATTGATGAGCCTTTAAGTACTCTTGACAGCCCTGCACTCAGTATACAATGCCACTAAATTAAATCAGTGACATTTTCCTCCCATTTTGCACCAATGCTCTATCCTCATGTAGTCACTTGTAACTGAGAAACTGTGGCCATAAGAAGTCTCTAATGTACAGATACCAACATTTGTCATTTTGTCAGCCACCTGTTCAACAGGCAGAACATTCCTCTTGCAATAGCAAAGCCTAACTCAGCTTCCTAGCCAGAACTGAAATAGTAACCAGAGTTTTCACTGTTGTAATCACAAGCTTAGTGTGCTTCATTGTCAGATTAGTTAGCCCTCAAATCACTAACCATAAACTTCACTTTCATCTAATCAGGCATTTTAGACAAGCAAAACTAGCAAAGGACAACACAACAAATACCAACAGGTATGGAATTCAGGTGCTTAGTAAGTTGCTTAGTAGTACAACAGCTGTTTTGTGCTCCTCCCCACACTGCACTGCAAAATATGAAGCAATTTGAAATTTGCTCTTGGTCTCAATCATCTGGGAAACAGAAAGGAACATGATTTCAGAGAGCATCCCGTTGTCTAAACCCATGAAGCAAGGGGAACAGCAACCACTCTTATGGCCAAAGTAAAGGCTCTAAACAAGGTAAAAGTGGGTAGAGAATGTATACATTTGAGTAGTGGTGGGAAAAAAGCCTAGTTTGTAGTTAACAGAAAGTAGCAAAGAGAAAGAAAAAAGATATATGGTGTTTACACTGAACACCTGAAGGCGCCAAAGAGGCTTTCAGGAACACAGTGGCTACTCCAACCCTATATTAGATAAACTAGTGCAAAGTTCTCTGAATCAAAAAACATTTTCAGCTGTATAGCCAGGAAAGTAAACTCCTTTTTTGTTCCAGAAGTAGCACCTGTTACACTCTGAACCAAATCAAGCCGAAAAATGGGACAGTTCAAAGGGATAAGTCGGAAATGCACAGCTTCACTGCAACCTGTAATAATCTAATTTTCATTTGGCTTCTGCAAGAATTGAAGGGACCAAACTTACACAAAATGAAGCAAGCAGCTAGGAAAACCCAATCATAAAATTAAGGCTATAAAACAAAATTAGTAATAATAAAATAATATATTAACTTCTTACCTGCTTGTTATAAATATTGGCTGCAATCCTTTTCCGTAATACCAGTTCCATGGCAGCAGGGTGGCTGAGCTGCACAGTAGCCTTCACTATCAAGTAAATTCTCTCATTTTGAGGAGTTACCCTATTCAGGTGCACTGAATCATGGACAGAAGAGTCCCAAGCAGCAGTGGCTGAAACCTATGTAGACAAATTAAATGGAGGAAGGAAGGGGAAATCAAAGACTCAATTACTCTAGCAAAAGGTATAATTTGCAGTGATTTAATGTGAAGTAAAGCAATTCTTTAATGAAAGAAAAATAAGCATCACTGAACAAAATGAGGCCAAGTCTCCTTCAGAAGAAGCATAAAAGAGGTGTTAAGATATCGGGGAACACAACTGTGAGCACAACCCCTGCACTGTGCAAACACTGCTTCAGAAGGAAGTCTTCACACGGAGGCAGAGAGGAACGCAGAAGCAAGAATGGAGGAAGGAACACAAATCCTATTGCAACTGTATTAAAAGTTTATCAAATTCAATGGCAAATCTTCGATCTGTATTGAATTATGTTATCCAGAACAAACATGCTCCCATCCTGCAGAACATCTTTTTCCTTTCCCCTGCCTCCTCCCCAACTTTGGCATCCTGTTTATTCTGGAAATGGCCTCTTAAGCAACAGCCTGAGTTGGCACAGAGGGTGGAAGAAATGAGTTAAGAAATTCCAAAATGGATTCAGAACTATTCATTTTCAACAATTCCCCAACTTCATATTTAAAAAAGTAATTGTGTACTAGAAAGGAAAAAGTTTTATTTAAACACTAAGCTTTGCCTAGTGTGCACAACAAATAAGTAGTTTTCACTGAAGAATCGAGAGCCTGCAAGAGGAATGATGAAGGGGTGAGGAAAGAAGAAGGGATTTTGAGTCAGGCAGCTGAATTACTCTTTTACCAAGAAGAGCTGAGACTTGTCACCTCTGAATTAAGGCAGAAGGGCTATCAAGTCATTATCCTCTTAAATTTTAAACAGTGCAGAAAATAAAGGCAGCGCTAGATATAGATGGTACTTCTAAGACAAAAATAAAATCATAACAACAGTGATTAAATACATACAAGTAGAAAAAAAAAAACATACAAAGAAAGTGTTAACAGAAGCTGCAGTTGTGAAGAAGGAGGCTTGCTAACAATTTACCTCATCATCACTGTGTTTTATGATCGGCAGATAAAAGAATGGACTCCCATGCTCCTTTGGTAGTATTGAGTTAACTCCTGATGCATGGGGACCTATAAGTTGTTCATTGGCACTGAGGTCATCAGCTAATGAAACAAATGTGCAAAGAATGAAATAGTTTTATACCAAAGGATATTAATATATAGAGGCAAACTTGCAATACAGAGTTGTAATAAAGTCCTACCTGTATTTCATAATACATTTAAACCTAATTAATCTTATTACTATGCAAGATTTTGAAGACAACATCAGGATACAAAAGAAGGGAAGTAAAGCCAGGCTAAGACTCAGCCTGAACACGCTCTCATGTAACCTAAACAGAATTCAAAACTATTTCTAGGTATTCACAACATTAACTTACCCAGCCAGAAAATTTGCTGATTTATCCACCTGGGAGCCTAACCAGTTTACTGCTTAGTTAAATCACTTCTGATGTATCAGGGAATCTTTAAATTGAGAAAAGCAGTTCTGGCTACATTAGGCTTTTAGCTAACTAAAATAAAAAAGAGTTGTGCAATGATCCATGAATCTGTTTAAATATCCTGTTTGATCTTCTGTCTGCTAATCTCCGCTGATAATGAAAAAACACATAAAAACATTTCTTGTGAGTGTAAAGGAAAAAGTGTTTATCATTTTCCAAAAGCAACTTCTAAAGCAGGTATCAATGTGTTGCCTATATAAACATCTCCAGGAGCCCACTGAAGTGCTAGATGAGACAAGGCCTGTGGATCCTCCTCTGCTTTATGTCCAAGTTTATACTTAAGGACTTGTTTCCTCAACAGTACTTAAATGTGCTGCTAGCTCTAGTTTCTTAATGCTTACAGCGTATCTGTGTCCTAAGAACATGTATCAAGAGTCTTCTCACATGTAAAACTAGATACCTTCAAAGGGAGAACATTTAGATTGTTTAACAAAATGCTCATTGTAGCCCTAACACAGTCTTCATTAAACCAGCTGTTTAAGTCTCTACAGATAATTATTCCAACATACAGAATTGGAAGAAAAATCACTTTACACAGCATATCAGACAGTGCCATTGCCAGGACTCGTTTTGATTTCTTAGACATTTCAGATTCATTCTTCTATTTATCAATTTACTGATCCAAACTAATTTCTCCCCCCACCAGTTTCTTAATCTGCCATTACAACATACCATTCAAATCAAGGAAGAGGACAGGTATATGTGTTTCCATTCCTGCAGGTGGAATCCTAAAACAAAACAAACTACTGTTAACAAGGAAGGCAAACACATACCCAAGCTAACTTGGACAAACATCTCCATTCAAGATTCATATTAACTGTAGCCAATGACTAAACCCATCAACATTTTGATGGCTAACTTGAATGCCTACGTTGGACAGAGAATGTTTTGTTTATCTACACATGCAACTAAATGCAGTGCTTTACCAAAACTTATTTCACACTGCAGAGCAGATTTCATTTGCTGTGAGGATGATGACAAGTTTTAAACATCCTGTTCTGTTTCTTATAAAGTTAACTGATTGTAGTCATCTCATACATAAAGGTTAGTAACCTTTCAAACAACTGGATGTGTAACCACTGGCAAGGCACAGTGTTTATATCAATAAATACACTTTTTGCTGTATGACCACAGCACACTTCAGGTGGATAAGGGAAAAAAATGGCAAGGAAAGATGATGACTACATCATTCACTCAGTGAAGAACAGATACTAGGTATTATCAGAGACATCAGTGTACACTCGATTGGAGCCATATTTCTTGTCCACACCTTCCCAAATCTAACATGTTGCATTCCTCATTTTTGCATGTCAGTCCCAATGATCTTAGTTAAAACACAAATTAAAATTAAATTATATGGAAAGGAGAATGCATCCTTTCTTTCCCCCACCCTTTATCAATGAAATTATCACGTGTTCTACCATTTATTTTTGAACCACTCCTTTTTTGAAAGAAGTCAAACTACAGGATAACTCTCTCTGAATTTTTAAAAAGTGTAAAATACTATGTTAAATTCAAAAGTGATTTTCAAACCTTGAAAGCTATCTCCAAGCTACTTTACGTAACATGTTAACTAAGCAAACTTTTCTTATATTCAAATCAGCACCTGACCTTCCAGCCTTCTGCCAGCTGATTGTAACTGGTAGCGTTACAGGAAAACACAGAAAGCTCTAAAACATCCTCAGATTTTTACCTTGGAGTGTGCAATGTTCATGTAGAAAAAGCTAACCACTCCAATGGTTTTTCTGAACATACCAATTTGCAGGGGCACCAGGAATTCCACTGCCTGGTGCTGGAACAAACACCGCATTCCTCTCTTCTGTCAGCCCTACCCACTGTTCAACCAGCCGGGCTTCTCGTTCTATATCATCCTCAGATTTCTCTGCAGTGAAAGAGATTAATATTATATACAAGAGACATTTTTTTATGTGGTCTAAAGAATAAAGTACTTATGACGGGGACTTTAAACTTCAAACCTTGTTTATTGCTGATCTTTTGAATCTGTTCATCCAAATATTCTCTGCGTTTTATCAATGCATCAGACCACCTTTCTCGTACACAGTTTAAATCTTCTTCCTAACATGGAAAGAGAAAATACAGTTATTAGGCTATGTGGTTAAGATTAAAGGGCAGTGAATTTTGTGATAATTTCATAAGAATTGATATTAGCTTGCATGATGCAGAAAACTTTTTTCCCCAAATGACATGCACAATGATTAAGTACCTCATCACCCATGAATGGAAGGTTATTTGCTTTCAAGTCTCAAATTCCAACAGAAGGAAAAGAAAATGTGACTGTCTCAGTTACTAAACAGAATTATACACCACAGGCTAATTACTCACAGAAGTGGCAAATTTTTTAACAGCATATGGAATAGGAAAAAACAGGTGTCATCAGCTGATCATAAGTTCTCCTGAAGATTAGACAGGTAAGTACACCCTCAAACCTGCACAAAATTCCATTGCTAGCAGCTGCTATCAGTGCAATTAAAAGATTTCTCATGCAAACAAAACCCATCATGCAATCATGCTTTGTGGTATCACAGAAAATCCAGTTTGTTCTTCTCTGTGATAAGTCAGGAAGCGCATAAACAGCCCGCAAGAAGTTAGTACCTAACTGGTCTCTTTGAGATTGTTACAAAACCTAGTATATTATCTTAAGGGATGTCAGCATTCTCACCTAACTGGTTTTACCTCTGTAAAGCTGCCTACTAGAAATAATACTTCCATGTAGAGATCTCTAATAAGTTTTACTTTTTTGGCTACTTCCTCTTTTGTCCTTTGTCACCTTTTAGATGATTCTTCTGTTATGCTTTCTAAACTGTGACTTACTTATCATACAAAAAGCCAGGCCCAAGGTTTGTTTTTGTGTAGACAAAAAATTGCTTCACTGAAGCTTCTGTATTCCCCACCCTCACATCCTCTCCTCTCTCTCCCACTAGTGTTTCAGAAAACGGCACAACTTAAAAGGTTATGATGTTTTCTTCAGAAAACAAACAAAAAAGGCTATTCTGTATACTTTGGTTGGGAAAGATGCCTGCAACCGCAGGTGGTTGTTCTTTTCCCCATGACATTAACTGGGAACTGTTTTTCATTCTAAATCAGAGTTTCTAGCCTTTTATTCACATAGCATTTCGTGTAGCCAGTTAGGAGAGCTGACTGCTGAGTACTAGAGAAGAGAGCACACTGCAAAAGTATAAAGTCACAAGATAAATTGGAATAGCAGTGTTTTATAGCTCAGGTAGCTTCTTAAATGCACAGCATATATATGTATTTCAAAGCTTTTGAGGTTTTGCTTGCTCCAGTAGGCTTGTTCATTTGAAAGTTGCTGGCTATTAGCATTAGCTGTGCCCCATGCCACAGGATTGACAGCAACAGCAGCAATACCTGGTAACTATCCATATCACCACCATCATCCTCCTCCTTCTGGTAGGAGAAAATAAATTTTGTAAAACACAAAAGAACATGCATTTCTCTCAACAGAAACTCACAGAAAACACCCTAAAACATGAATACAAACATTTCTGCCACAAACAAACTTGTAAAATGTTAAAATTACAACATTCAAATAAACAAAGTCTTATTAACAGTTAGGAACAGGTTGGTTTTTTTTCATTACAGACTATAGCATCTCATCCATGATTTGAGTATTAGTGAACACATTTATTTAAAAAATCGTATAATACAGTGTCAGAAAAAAGGATTGAGCAGGCATATCACCAATCTTAATGTTTTACAGTTTCATCTGTATTTAAGGCTATAACGACTTCTGGTTCTCAATGCAACCCTTCTAACAAAAGGCACCTTGCTTCCCTGGGTGTCCCGTTCCCCTGGTTCTCTACCATTGCTGTTAAAAGTATGCTTTATTTCCAATATGAATTTGTCCAGTATCACTTTCAAGCCACTTATACTTCTTAAGAACTTTTTCTCCTAACTGAAATAACCCTTTTATATTCAGTGATGGCTATTTCTGATTCTGATCAAGTAACAGCTCAGTCCTTTTTGAAAAGAGAAACAGCATCTTCACTATAAGACATTTTCTCTATTAATTTTTTTTTCCTCCTCCTCAACTTTCACCATCCTTGTAAGGGAGGGAAACTAATGGAGCTAGGAATCTACTACTCATCACCTCTACACACAAAGGTAAAAATTATTTCCATATTGCTGCTGTTTTGCGTATAGTCAAATACCATACCTGGTATTTGACTATACACAAAACATATGAATATGTATAATTCATATACACCGAATTATAAGCAAAAAATGAAGCAGATTGAGCACCATATTCTCACATTATACATATTAGCCTCAAACACATGTGAAACTGTGAAATTACTTATCATGTACCACTGGGCTAAGGTCCCTTATGGAACTATATTGGGGTGGCTCTAGAACAGCAGAACAAAGCCAAAAAAAGAGATCAACGCATGAAAAAGTAACTGTCTTACCTGGTAGCTGTCCAAGCCCCTTTGCAGTTTGGTTGATCTGGCAGTCACACCACCTATAGAGACTGAAAGAATTGCTTCTACCATGAGAGGTAACGTTCCCGAATGTTGTACGGGTTTCACTGTCACCTGAACTCTGCGAGAATGACCCTAAACAGGTCAATGAGATACAGAAAGAAAGACAGAGGGAGAGAGAAAAACAGAGAGAAACTAAGAATAAAATTATGAATCAATTAAAGCACTAATAAGAAGATGGGGAAAAGATACGTACCTGCCTAAGCTGGAAAATCCCCCCTGTGTTTACATCTTTTGCCTGATGGATTTCAACTGCAGTGTATTCTCCCATCTCATTCAATTCTTGTATGGAAATCCACATTTCTATTCTTCGAGTTACCTCATTCCACCTATAAAAGACATCCCCACAAAAAGTAATGTCGCCTCATCAAACTCTATTTTGCGTGCCACGAGCCTCTGGAAAGCTGATGGAATTGTTAATCTTACCTGTCTCTCAGTGTCCTCGTTTTAGCATGAAGAGAATCAACTTCCCAAACAGAGCTGCCATTGCCAGTACATCTGTGACCCCACACTTCAATAGCAAGAGCTCCTTCTGAAATGAACTCCAAAAACTCCTCTGTGACATTCACCACGTAGTCCTGGCAATGAGAAAAACAAATCACATCAAATACAATTATTTCATTTTATCTCCTCAACTAGTTTGTAAGGACACAGCAAACAACTAACGACCTGCATGGTAAAACCATACAGTTGGGATGATAAGGCTCAATTCTGATCAACAAAGTTGTGAAACATATAATCTCAGGAATTTCTGCTTCTGCATACTGCATTTCATGCTTTGAAAATTTCCATTAAAATTATGTCACAGCTCCAGTGATCTCTTTTAAGTTATGGAGCTTATGAAACAAGTATATAATAAGACATAATTATATAATCATAGAATTGTTTAGGTTGGAAAAGACCTTTAAGATCATTGAGTCTGACTGTGAAATGGATATATAGAGACATATATATAAAAATAAAAACAAGCTATAGTTCCCTCCATGCATTACAGATTACACCTGAATTTAAAAGACCACTAACTAAAAGATTTTTTCATTTTGCTGCATTTTGAAGAGGGGATGAAGTGAAATATTATGGCATTCTAAAGTATAGTCAAAAGTCCTTAGTTATGTGACTTGCTTCTCTCCTTTCTTCCCCCAGCAAAACAAGGCTCAAATTCTAAATACCTTACCTCAAACATACCATCCTCCCAGTAGCACTACTGCATAATAAAAATAGTTACCTTACAGTGAGAGAAGGTCACTGTAAAATGAGCATCCTTGCTCTGAGGTGAAGGCACATCTGGATCTACCACTGGTGCTGCTACTGTTGATTCACATTGATCCCAAAATGTATATTGACAAAAGACAAAGTTGGAGAGATTAGGTGGCAGCCCAGTTGCCTCTTTTATTTTTACCTGAGAAGACAAAACAGATGTTTTCATAAATATGATTGTTTCTTTTTCAGTTGTAAATTATTAAAAAAACCCTAAATATTTAATTCAAAAGCACCAACTGCCATGAAGAATTTTTAAAGGACACCTCCAACTGCTTTTAAGGATGTCTCTATCTAGGAAATCTGTATTTTGCATATACAGAAACGCAGATGTAAGGAAAGCAGTTACATGCACCTAATTAGCCCACCCACGTACATGTTTTCTTTTGAGGAAGCTGATAAGCTCAAGTGGAGAATGATACACTTAATCACAGAATAAATGAAACCCAGACACCACCCATAGATCTTACATTAGATGATCAAACAAACCATAACAGATGGTTACACGGAAAAAGTGTTTCCTCTTTGTGCCCGCCAAAAAGAAGAGTCCTTGTAACATCAGTATTTAAGATGTAGACACACATATACTAGAAGTCAGACCAAATTAATTCAGCCACTGGCAACCACAGCCAGATAGACTGACCTACACTGAACCAGAACAAGAGAAGTCTCTCTTCTTTTTAGAGAATTTGAAGCAAGCAATAGCCTCCATAGCTCAGCACTTTACATCAGACCGACCACATAGTGACAAACGTCTGAAACCGTTAACTGCACCCTGTGTTCTCACTTACCCTGCAGGAGAGCTTTTTTGCTCTATGAATAATTTCTCCATTGTTATCTACGATTTCCAGACTCCCACTCTCACTGGAGTTCTCAGATGAGTCATCTCCTTCTACTACACGTTCTGGGACAGACCCAGTGACTCGCATTACTTCAACATGCAACCGTCCTGCAACCTGAAGCAAAACAAATACTAAGAACCTGTGCACAAGGGACTTAAAGACATCAAGACAGTAAATACCCAACTCTAGGAGGTGTGCAGAAACAAAAGTGAACAGTTCTCAACCACCAAATGAAAAGCAACAATGTCAAAAAAGGGGAGAAAGGAATTTAAAAAAAAAATCTGCAGAACTACTGACCTTTTTAATTCACACACAACAGAAAAGACACAGTATCATGACTATACATCAGAACCTTGAGATGCTTAATATGTTACAGGATCAGAGGCACAGGATGGTGGGGGTTAGAAAGGACCTCAGGAGATCATCCAGTCCAACCCCCCTGACAAAGCAGGTTCCCTACACCAGGTTGCACAGGGAAGTGTCCAGGTGGGTTTGGAACATCTCCAGAGATGGAGACTCCACACTCTCTCTGGGCAGCCTGTCCCAAGGCTCCATCACCCTCAGACTAAAGAAGTTTTTCCTTAAGTTTGTCTGGAACTTTCTGTGTTCCAGTTTCTGCCCATTGCCCCTTGTCCTGAGCCTTTCCTCATCAGAGAGTTGCTCCAGTCCCCTCATCATCTCTGTAGCCCTCCGCTGGACGTTCTCCCATAGTTCCTGGTCTTTCTTGAATTGAGGAGCCCAGAATGGGACACAGCCTCACTAGGGCACAGTAGAGAGGGAGGAGAACCTCCCTTGACCTGCTAGCCATGCTCTCCTTAATGCACCTCAGGATACTGTTGGCCTTAGCCACGAGGGCAAATTGCTGGCCCATGGTTAACTTACTGTCCACCAGACTCCCAGGTCCTTTTCCACAGAGCTGCTTTCCAGCAGGTCAGCCCCCAACCTGTCCTGGTCCATGCAGTTATTCCTCCCCAGGTGCAGGACTCTGCACTTGCCTCTGTTGAACTTCATTAGGCTCCTCTCTGCCCAACTCTCCAGCCTGCCCAAATCTCGTTGAATGGCAGCACAGCCTCCTGGTGTGTCAGCCACTCCTCCCAGTTGCATATTGCCAGCAAAGTTACTGAGGGTGGACTCTGTCCCTTCATCCAGGTCACTGATGAAGATATGGAACAAGACCAGAAATGACCCCTGGGAACACCAGTAGCTACAGGCCTCCAACTAGACTCTGTGCCACTCATCACAATTCTCTGAGCTCTAACATTGAGCCAGTTCCCAATCCACCTCACTGCCCACTCACCTAACCCACACTTCCTGAGCTTCCGCTTCCTGAGCTTACTTATGAGAATGCTATGGGAGACAGTGTCAAAACCTTGAAGTCAAGGTAGAGCACCTCTGCTGTTAGGACAGGCTGAGAGAGTTGGAGCTGGAGAAGAGAAGGCTCCGGGGAGATCTTCTAGCGGCCTCCCAGTACCTGAAGGGGCTACAAGAAAGCTGGGGAAGGACTTTTCATAAGGACAGGTAGTGACTGAACAAGGGGTGATGGCTTTAAACTGGAAGAGAGGAGGTTTAGTTAGATATGAGGAAGAAATTCTTTACTGTGAGGGTGGTCAGACACTGGAACAGGTTGCCCAGAGAAGCTGTGGCTGGCCCCCCCCGGGAGGGTTCAAG